GTGTGTGTGTGTGTGTGTGTGTGTGTGTGTGTGTGTGTGTGTGTGATTTAAACCGGATGCAGGGCATCTGTGATACTTGGGTTAGTAGTTATTGACAGTGCTTTATCCTTCATGTGGAGATGGGAGGGGTACGAGTGAGGTTCCATTTCACTTTGATGAACCTCCTTCCCCACAGTGGAGTGTTAACAATTTTCATTGTGGTTATGAGACTGTGTGACAGACAGGGAAAGGACGTAAGGAAGCTTTGTGAGAACTCAGTTTACAGTGTTATTTGTGACAGTTATGGTACTTTAAAGAGTTTTTTTTTTAAATCTTCTCTTCGTTTTCCTTTGAGAGTTGAAATTGAAGTCAAGTTGTTCATAAAGAATGTATGAAGCTTCTCAACTTGAAACGTGTGTATATTTCACTTTCTTTGTGGTTGTTAAGATCTAGGCATATGTGTTCTTAACATAGTCTTTTAAATTTATTTTTTGGTTTTCTTTGGACAGTGACTTAAACCTGCTGAAGAGAGAGAACACTTTCCTTTTTAGGTCCTTGCTTCAAAACTGTATTTTTCTCTGTAGATTTGAATACTTATCAGTCCTCAAGTTATAGGCTCTTAGAGGTAACCCAGTTTTACAGATCCTGTAAATTTGTTCATTTTTCAGTGTAATGTTTAATTAATTATCAGTAAAGAGTTTTGATAATGAATGTGTGCTAAAACAAATATAGTGTACTGTAATATTCGCACAAATTGAAGTTTCCAATTTGGAATTTTTAAATGCTTATTTAAATAGTCTTCTTTCTAACAGCAAACATATATTGATTTACCTGACAGAGCAGCCTGTGAATAATATGACAGTATTAATTATTCTTCAGAATGTCAGTGAGCAGGTTGGGTAATTGTAAAGCTATTAAGGCTAATATTTTGTAAAATAAGAGGTTTAAAAAAAATCTTTTCTTTTTTAAAGTCCACTTCCTTGTGATTGCTATTTTAAATGAGGGTGATGTTTGTTCTGAAAGAAGTCTTTCTCAGAGCACTCAAATTTCTTTATATTTGCCCTCCCGCCTCCCCAACCTGGGTTTCTTGCAAATCTCTAATACTAACCTGTATTTTTTTTTCTGTTCAGATGAGTGTCAAATGCCTGAACACTTTTGGATGGTGAAGTTCCTGGGTCCTATAAACTCTCTGAAGTTAATAGGAGTTTTGCTGTCTTGAGACAGTTTCAGACCTTATGCCATTTACATAATGCATTTTCAGTCGAGTAGATTATATGCTATAATTTTATGGTTTAATATTTTTACTTGCAGTGTCCAAGAATTTTTTTCAGGCATTTCACTCATTACGACTATCTCAGGTTTTCTATAATTCAGATTTTCATTCACAAGGTGATTTGAGAGCAGAACTTAAATTGAATTCTATTACCTATTCATTTTTAAAAGCACTTATGTGATATAAAAGTTGCTGCTAGACATGCTTTGGACTCAAGTGTGTCAACATTATTCATACGGATTAAGTAAATAATAGCCAGAAATACTAACAAATGATAAGTTAAAAAATTTAACACATTGATAAATGTTTAGTAACATTTTTTTTCCTGAGATATTTTTCCTAGGAGGGACTATATTATGTATTTGTATTCTCTTGTGTTTGTTTTTAGACTAAAAAACGAACTCAGAAAAGTGTCCAAACTTTAAAACTAAAATTATGAAATAGGAGTTACTTGTAACTTGTTTTGAATAGCTGAATATCTGTGATTCACTGTATGTCATAATGCCTATCTTAGTCTTTTTATATTATTGTGCCTATGAATTGCATTAAATGGTATATAGGCATATTTATGTAGTACATTTAAATGTATAACAGTAAACTAAAATGCATTTCTAAAATGTGCCATTCCACAATGTTTTCATTATATGGGGTAGTTATGCCTAATTTAAAAAATAGTATATTACTCCTCCAGTATTCAAATAGTCTCGTACTCTACTTAGGTACTCAAATAAAAGGTTTATAGTTTACAAGTACTGAAATAAAAAATTTATAGTTTATAAATTTAATATACTTTGATGCTAAACAAAACAATTTTTAAATCAGAAACAAATTTAATAGTAAAAAAATTACCAATTAAAAATGAATTGTAAAATCAAGATAGATTTAATCTATTATTTAAAGGATGATATGTGTTACTTTTTGGTAACATGTTTCATTTTTCTTGAGAAAGTTGATGTTTTATGTGCTTTCCTCTAAACTGTCAACTGAAAAAATCAGTAGGTGGAGTATGATCTTTGTGTCTCAGATTTTATAGTATGTGTGTGTGTGTGTGTGTGTGTGTGTGTGTGTGTTTAAAAGAGAAGATATAGCATCAGATATGTAGGAAGAGTTAAAAAAAATTTTTTTCTGAACAGTGTAGTAGGAATGTTACTTTGTTTTATTTTGTATTTCTAGTGAGCCTGTGTTACAAGAAATGAGAATACCGAACAAGGAGGCTTTCAAATTACAAAAGAGTCTTGGAAGACATAAACCTTTAAATTATGAAAAGTCTGCTTTTTTTTTTTGCCTGCTTTGTTTTTAATGCTGAGCATTAGGCTAAAAATCCTCTACTTCTAGTTACTTTAAAAAATAAGCACTTAGTTTCCCTAATGGAATCCTTTGCTTTTAACTCTTTGGTATGGCTTCCCAGTGGCTGTTGCAAAACAGATTTTAAATTCCTCTCTGTTCACAGGTGCATAGTGTTCCCATATTTTGGAAATCCAAGATTAAGCGGATTTAACTAAATCTAGCTTTGTTAGGGACAGATGGCTGCTTTAAACAGGTGTCACTTTCATTTCTAGCGCATTGTGTTGGGACTTCCACCGGTTCACAAAAGGGCTGTCTAAAGCAGGTGGCATCCTTTGCTTTTGTCCTTAGTAAAATATACTTTTGGAGTTAATTATTTTCGTAGGAAGAGTCTTCTTTTTAAAGTAAAGGTTTTGAACTATTCAAATTGATTCCTAATTTAATTAGCGTAACTTTTATTTTTGAATATCATTCTAGTTTTGAGCTGTGTAAGTTGCAGATCCTTTCAGAAAACACTTCAAATTCTTTAAAGGAATGATAAATTCCCTTTGAATCCAGCAAAGTACTCAGGAGCACTTTACACAATTAGTCAATTTATCTGAAGCAAAAAGCCAAGGCAGATTTGAATAAAGTGAAATTTGGTTAACATGACAAGTTAACTTTTGCCATCCCATACTTGAATTTATTGGGGGGCAGCATTATTTTAATTTAAATGATAAATGTTGAGAACCAGTGTTGTTTTTGTTGGTTATTTTAAATATTTTCAAATGAAAACATTTTCCTTATCTACTTCAATTGTTATTGTAAAGTTTTTAGTGCTGTTTTTAAGTGAAAATTGTTTTCAAGCATTAGTGTTTAAAAATACATACTGGAGTAAATAAAATAGTAACAAACTATTGATTTCTAAGGTTCATTTTTACTCGGATTCGATCCTTTTTTGGTGGAAATTTTATACATCTTACAACAGATGCACCAGAGGGTGCTGTGCTGTTTGCAACAAGAGATTATTATCACTAAGAATGTGAACTGATTAGAACTTTTATTTAAAGAAAAAAAATTTAATTACTTATGCATTCAAGCATATAATAGCCTTATTTCTATGGAGTTTCAATTTAATCTACTGTCTTAATTGGCAGCTTTTCATCAAAGCCTATCTTTCTGTGTACTAATATATATTAGCACAGCATAAAACAATATCAAGATTGATATCTTTGGCATAATCTGAATGTCAGCATTCGTCCTGTAGGCATATACATTTATCATCTTCTTATGCAGGTATTTTAATCTGTATCTAAAAAATTTAGTTTAACTTGAAAATCATACTGTTTTGGCAGTATGGCTTTGTACTCTATAAATTTGGCATTGTTGCACATATCAGTATATTGTGTATCCTTACAGCATTTATATATGGCATAATTAGTGGTATGCTTTTTATGGTATAATTTAAAACTCTCTCAAAAGTATAAATGGTAATAATAGTTATCAGGCTAATTAAGTCAACAACAATAATAACA